AATAAGTCAAAAATTAGCCGGGCTTGGTAGCGCGCACCTGTAGTTCCAGCTACTTAGAAGGCTGAGGCGGAACGATTGCCGGAGTCCAGCAGGTCGAGGCTGAGGTGGCCGAGAGCGGCCACTGCACTCCAGTCTGGGTGACAGAGTGAGACTCCAACTCAAAAAAAAAAAAAAAAAGAGAGAGAGATGAGGTCTTGCCAAGTTGCCCAGGCAGGTCTCGAACCCACGGGCTCAGGCAATCCACTCACCTCAGCCTCCCAAGGCGCGGGATTATAAGCTGAGCCACCGAGCCTGGCCGGAGCGCATTTGTAAGTCCATTTGTTTTAAGTCCAACAAAGTTAGCTTAGGTACTCAACTAACACAACCAGCTATAACCTGGTGAAGGGAAATACATAAAAAAAATGCAGGTATGCATCTTTAAAGTTCATAACTTGAAGGTTCATATGCAGGGGATTTACTATACCTTACTTAATACAGCAACCTGCTCCCCTACAACCTGGCCCTCTGATCTGTCTTGCCTTGCTCTACTTACTGCCTTCTCATGTGTTACCAGTTTACTTATGCAATGTGTTTTTTTACTGTCTGTTCCTCTCCCTAGAAACTAAGCTTCTGCAGAGCAGGGCCCTTCATCTGTAGGGTTCCCTAATGTGCCTCAGGAACCCAGATTAGTGTCCATCACAGAGCACTTACAGCAGAACATCTGCTGAATAAAGAATGAATCCTCACAAGAATCCTGTGAGGTAGGTACTATCATTAGGCCCATTTTACAGATCAGGAATCTGAGGCAAACCCAGGTATAACCTAACTCCAAATCACACATTGTCATCATTATTGATAAAGAAGATAAACAGAAAGGTCCCATCTGATCCTTAAACCACCCCTGCCCCTTTCAGCTTCTAGAGATCTCCTTCTGCCTCCTTCAGCCCTGGGCCCCGAGCAGCCACATGTGCGCCCTCAGCTGCACTCACTCCTTAGTGCTCTGCTGGGCTTCCCCCTTCCACCTCTCCAACAGCTCCTGCAGCCTGCTGCACTCTTCTGCCTTCTCCTCCAGCTGCCGCTCCAGCCCAATCCGGGATGGCTCTAGCTTCTGTCGCTTCTGGAAAAGAAACAAGAGTATAACAGGTGGAAAGTAGGGAAAGGCTCTCAGAAAGACTCAGAATCATGGGAATGTCTGACATTCACTGGACACTCACTGTATGACAGGCACCGTGTCAGGACCCTCTGAGTATTATCTGCACTTAATCCTCATAACAAGCCTTTACAGTACTTGTGACGATTTAAAACAGGGGCACACGTTCTTTGACACTCCCTTCAAAAGACGAAGCCTAACTCAGCTCCCCTTGAGTATGAGCCGGACTTAGGAAATACTTTCTCACAAGTAGAAAAAGGAAGAGGTGATATGCAAATTTTGAGATCAGGTCATAGAAAGGCACTGCAGTTTCCTCCTTACCTTTTCTCTGGGATCCCACACTATGTGGAAAGGTAGATGTCATATTGTAAGACACTCAAAAGTAGCTCTAGGAAGTGAGCCAGTCAGCCAGGAACTGAGGCCCCCCCCAACCAACAGCCATTTGCATAAACCATTTTAGAAGCAGATCCTCCAACCTATTTGAGTATTCTAATGTCCGCTACAGCCAAAAGCTTGCCTGGAACCTCATGACAGACCCAGATCCAGAATTATCCAGCAAAGCCTGATCCCAGATTCTTGATCCTCCGACACTGGAAATGTTTGTTTTAGGATGTTAAGTTTTTGCCTTGGGTGTAATGGCTCATGCCTATAATCCCAGCACTTTAGGAGGTGGAGACAGAAGGATTGCTTGAACCCAGGAGGTCAAGAGCAGCCTGGGCATCATAGTGAGACCTCATCTCTACAAAAAAACTTTAAAAAATAGCCAGGCGTGGTGGCACGTGCCTGTAGTCCCAGCTATTAAGGAGGCTGAGACGAAAGGATCACCTGAGCCCAGCAGGTGGAAGCTGCAGTGAGCCATGATCATGCCACTGCACTCTAGCCCGGGCAACAGTGAGACCTCAACTCACAATGTTAAGTTTAGGGTGACTTGTTACATAATAGATAATTAATACAGTACTATTATTGTCTCCACTTTACAGTTTAGAAAATGGAGGCTTACACCATTTAAAGAACTTGCCCAAGATCAGTTAGACAGCCAACAAGTATTACCAGGATTTGAACCCAGTTAGTCTGGCCCATAGTCCATCACTTAATAGCCATTATACTACATTTCTTTCTAGGAAACAAGGAAAGTTACAAGCCAACATTTTCTGAGCACCAACTACATACAAGGCCATACTGCAAAAGGTAGAAAGAATACACAGGCTCTAGAATAACAGATCTGGATATTTTCATTCCTCTGTACACCTTACTCCCACAGGTAATTTACCCAACCTTTCTGATCTTCAGTTTTCTCATCAGAAAAGTGTCCAGAATGCCCGCTTTACAGGGTTGCTATAAAGCTTACATATTACCCAGGTCAGTACCTACTACCAAAATTATACTCAACAAATGACAGCTACTATTATTGCCATCATCATCTCATTTATTTGTTTGTTTGAGTCAGAGTCTCACTCTGTCACCCAGGCTGGAGTGCAGTGGCACACTCATGGCCATTGCAGTCTCAACCTGCTGGGCTCAGGCAATTCTTCCACCTCAGCCTTCCAAATAACTGGAACTTCAGGAGCGTGCCACCATGCCCAGCTAACTTTTTGACTTATGGTAGAGATGAGATCTTGCCAAGTTGCCCAGGCTGGTCTCAAACTCCTGTCTCGGCCTCCCAAAGAACTGGGATTATAGGCGTGACCCACTGCGCCCGGCCACTTGCCATCATTTTTTATGATGCTGAAAAGAACTGAAGAATAGAGAACATAAGTAACTAACTACCTCAAGTTTTACACTGCCAGTGCTGGCAGAGCCAGGATAGGCACTCCCAAAGGAAATGGAATGAAAGATAGGTAGATCCCTAATGTGCTCTGCCTCCCTAAGCTTCGGAGAACCCCAGAAGTCCTTGCTGGAACTAGTGCACACTCTTTTCTCATAAGACACAAGCACGCTCATTCCACTCCTTGGAAGAGTTCATCCAAGTCCTCCTCCAGGCCCAGATTTTTGCCCTGTGGTCCTCCATTCCTCCAGCACCTCTAATTTTCCTCACCTTGACCTCCTCATCCAGCTTGTGCTGCAGCTCCTCCACTTTTCGGGTAAGCTCACTCTGTCCTGCCATGGACTTGACAGAACCAGGAGAAGCCACCTGTCAGAGACATGGCAGGGAATGAGTCTAGATCAAGATCCCCCGAGGCCCACAAAGCCTTCCCCTGACCCTTGTTCCCACCCAGAGAAGGCCACTCACCACCAGAGGCTGTATCTGCTCCAGCACCAAACTAACCTTCCTCCTCACAGAAGGTTCACTTTCTGAACTTCTGGAAGATAAAAGGACAGAAGCAATTAGGGGAGGAAAGAGGTAGCAGAGATAAGGAAAGGGCAGAATCAGGGAAGATGGAGAACAAAGCAAGAAGGAAAAGAAAGGAGGTGTGTGCATCCGCTGTTGGGTAGACACTCACTCACCCCTCCCTCAGGATGCCATAGATAGTGGCTTTCACATGGTCCACACTTCCTGGTGGCGCTGCCTCCTGCTGATCTCGAAGAAGGTCTGGAGTTGATTTGAACTGTTCAGAAAATAAAAGGAAATAGGCAAATTAGGCCCAAAGTGTATGTGGGGTTCAGACAGAGGAGATGGGGCAGTCGGGGGGAAAAGGCCCTTTGAGCATGACGAACAAGCCTGAGGTATGGCAAAGAGGACATGCTGCGGAGGCCTGAGCAAGTAGCCAGGGAGAGGTCAAAGCAGGACATGCCCCAACACTTCTGCTGCAAACCAGATTTTCCTCAACAAACATCTCGACCAGCTGTGAGCTGTGTCACAAGTCATTTGTCACTAATGATAGTTAACATACTAGAGTTTATAAATAGTTAACTTTTAGAATGGATTTAAGTTTGTCTCAAAACAAAGTTGCTCCCCCACTCACTTACATTCCTGACTGGGAGTCGGGATCGGTGGCTCAGCCTGTAATCCCGCGCTTTGGGAGGCTGAGGTGAGTGGATTGCCTGAGCCCGCGGGTTCAAGACCCACCTGGGCAACTTGGCGAGACCTCATCTCTACAATAAATAAAAAAAATTAGCCGGGCGTGGTAGCGCACACCTATAGTTCCAGCTACTTGGAAGGCTGAGGTGGAAGAATCGCCAGAGCCCAGCAGGTCAAGGCTGCAGTGGCCGGGAGTGGCCCCTGCGCTCCAGTCTGGGTGACAGAGTGAGACTCCAACTCAAAAAAAAAAAATAAAAACAAAAGCAAAAACGTTCCTGAGTGGGAAAGAAAGGCGTGGAGTTTCGGCAAGAGCACCAGGGAAGCTGCCCCATCCTCCAAGCCTGCCTTGCGTACGCTAGAGACATAGCGAATGCTGGTGACTAAGGCATGGTTAGTAACCCTGGCAATGATAAGTAACTTTCCATGCCTGTGAATAGTGCTTTCACAGTTAGTTCCACTTTCTTTAAAATTTTACCCATGGAAGTATCTTGTGCATGTATCACCTATTTCCAAAGTACAGAACAAAAGGGAGAGACTTTCTGCCCTAGGTGATTTTCAAGAAATCCCAGGGTTGGTGAGTGAGAGCCGGTAAGGGCTGGAGCTTGGAAGCCGGAGAGGGGCTGGATCTGACCTGCAGCATGGTGGGGTCTTGCACTCTCCCCCGCGGCTCCTCAAAACTCTGCAGGACCCAGTCCTGAGTCTGACGGGGACGGCTAAAGCCACTGAGAGGGCTCTGGCTCGGGGCTGGCTGCTTTGAGCGACCCACGTGGTTGTCATATTTTGTGCCAGGGGTCCAGTGGTCAGAGGACTGGCGCTCCCGTTCCTCAAGGGTGTCCCGTGGGAGACGACTATCCAGGCTCTTGCTCCGCTTGCGCTGTTCAGGGGGTAGTGTCCGCAATCGGCGGCCAGTCCGGCCCCGGGTCTGGCCCCCAAGTTGACCGTCAAACTTGTTGATGAGTGAGTCCACTGAAGACAGGGGAGCAGTGTCAATGGTGCTAGCCGGGGTAGGCTGTTTCGGGGCCAGCTCCAGCAAGCTTGTGCTCCTGTTGCTAGGACCCATCGGGGCAGGGCCTGCCAGTGACGCCTGGGACTGGGAACGAAGCAGTCTTCCATTCCAGTGAACTCCAGGCTCCTCATCAGATGTGCTGCCCTGTGAGGGGGCAGGAAATCCCTTGACCTGAGAGTAGGGGTTCTCGGGGAGTTCTGAATCGGAGCTCAGAGCTCCTGGGGCCCCTTGATGGTTGGCCCCCTTGATTTGGACCCCAAAGGAGTCACCACCTTTATCCCCACTGTTGAGCACCACAAAGGGCTGCCCAGCAATGCCCTGCACACGCACAGCGACCCCATAGCTACTGGCTCTTGCATCCTTTGCTGGGCGTCGCCCACCACGACGTAGGGTGCTCATCTCTGCACCAACTGCTGGCTCTGTGATGAAGCGAATCTGGACGCCATGATCTACAGGACCCCGGGGCTCAGCCATGGTGGATGTCTGCTCCATGGGATCCTAGGGGTCCTGGAAGATTAAAAAAAAGAGAATTTAAGCTGAGAGACTGGAAGTTTGTCTCAAAACAAAGTTGCTCCCCCACTCACTTACATTCCTGAGTGGGAGCCGGGCTCAGTGGCTCAGCCTATAATCCCGGGCTTTGGGAGGGTGAGGTGAGTGGATTACCTGAACCCGTGCATTCGAGACCCGCCTGGGCAATTTGGCGAGAACTCATCTTTACAATAAATCAAAAAATTAGCCGGGCATGGTAGCGCGCGCCTGTAGTTCCAGCTACTTGGAAGGCTGAGGCGGAAGGATCGCCGGAGCCCAGCAGGTTGAGGCTGCAGTGGTTGGCAGTGTGCCATTACACTACAGTCTGGGCGACAGAGTGAGACTCCAACTCAAAAAAAATAAAAAATAAAAATAAAATAAAGCACAGATTGCCAGGTGCAGTGGCTCACACCTATAATCCTAGCACTTTGGGAGGCAGAGGCAAGAGGACTGCCTGAACCCAGGAGTTCAAGACCAACCTGGGTAGCTTGGTGAGACCTCATCTCTACAATAAATAAATTTTTAAAAATCAGCCAGGTGTGGTGGAGCATTCCTGTAGATTCAACAACATGGAAGGCAGAGGCAGAAGGATTGCCTGAGCCCAGGAGGTTGAGGCTGAGGAGATCATAATCATGCCAGTACACTCCAGCCTGGGGAACAGGGTGAGACTCCAACTCAAAAATAAAAATTAAAGAAAATAAAGTAAGACACAGGGTAATGTGTCCAACCCCCAGTGTTTCTGATTCAGTAGGTCTGGGATGGGACCTGAGAATTTGTACTTCTAACCAAGTTCCCAGTGAAGTTGATGGCACTGGTCCAGAAACCACATTCTGAGACACACTGACCTAGAAGAATTCACTTCCCCTGATACAGCCCAGGGGAGCTTGGCTTTGTTAACAGTTTAAAGATTCTGCTTGATCTTCACATCCTCCTGCCCCTGGTGAAGGCAGAACCCAAGCCATAGATACCTCCATCCCACTGGAGACAAGGGAGCCTCCTCCCCTAGAGCTCATTTAAAATATAGAAGACCTCAGCCAGGCACAGTGGCTCATGCCTGTAATCCCAGCACTTTGGGTGGTTAAGGCAGGAGACTTGCTTGAGCCTAGGAGTTCAAGAATTGCCTGGATGACATAGTGAGACCTTATCTCTACAACAAAAATCAAAAAATTAGTCAGGCATGGTGGCATGTGCCTGCAGTCCCAGCTACTGGGGAGGCTGAGGCAAAAGGATAGCCTGAGCCCAGGAGGTCAAGGCTGATGTCAGCTGTGATCGTGCCACTGCACTCCAGCATGGGCAACAGAGTGAGACGCTGACTCAAAAAAAAAAAAAAAAAAAAAATCTCCAAGTGTATCATCCTACTCTAGATAGCAGTGCTGCCTCTGGGATAGAGGAGCTGAGGGGTAGGGGCCAGGATAAGAACATTTCTACTCTCTGCAAGAGTACAAAGGGGTGGGCTTTCTACTGTGTATCTTTTTGTTCCTTTTGAATTTGGAACCATGTAGATGTGTTACCTATTCAAGAGAAGATTTAGATAAGGTTTTAAGGGTATTCCAGGGGCCCAAGGATGAGATAAACTTGTTTCAGCTCAGGACCAGAGCCAAGGCCATTCATAGGCCATTCCCCAGGTCCACACTGCCCAAGCTCAGAGTCAACAAATGGAATGTATTCCAGGTATGCTCTAGCTCCAGGAACTTGGGAGAGAGATTCTCTTCCAAGCAAATAAAAAATCCAGCCTCAGCCAGGCTTGGTGGCTCAGCCTGTAATCCCAGCGCTTTGAGAGGCTGAGGTGAGTAGATTGCCTGAGCCCGTGGGTTTGATACCCACCTAGGCAACTTGGTGAGACCTCATCTGTACAATAAAATCAAAAAAATTAGCCGGGTGTGGTAGCGCACGCCTGTAGTTCCAGCTACTTGGAAGGCTGAGGCGGAAGGATCGCTGGAGCCCAGCAGATCGAGACTGCAGTGGCCGGAAGCGTGCCACTGCACTCCAGTTTGGGTGACAGAGTGAGACTCCAACTCAAAAAAAAAAAAATTCCAGCCTCCCCACCCCTTTTGCTAGTCTTCACCAGAGTCTAGCACCAAACTGGAGGCAGAGCCTCTAAGGTGCCAGACAGAAACACAAATGTACCCAACTCAACCTCCCTGTGGAGTTCTGGGCCAAAGAAACTTGGCAAAGTCCCTTTTGGGGACTGCAGAGTGCTAGGAAGCCAGGAAACCAGGGTGAGATGAGAAGGGAGAGGTAGGGGTGGGAGAGGCAAAGCTCCAGGTGAGAAAGGGCTTGGTGGGGGGAAACAAATCTCCTAAGGAAGAGCATTCTTAGAATTCCAGGTCAGTGGCTCATGCCTGTAGTGCCAGCACTTTGGGTGGCCCAGGCAGGAGCACTTTGGGTGGTTCAGCCGGGTCTTGAACACAGTTCAACACAGCAAGACCTTAGCTCTACAAAAAAAAATCACAAAAGTTAGTGGGGCATGGTGGTGTGCACCTGTAGTCCCAGCTACTGGGAAGCTGAGGCAGAAAGATCACCTGAGCCCAGGAGGAGGTCAAGGCTGTGGTGAGTTGTGATCATGCCACTGCACTCCAACCTGGGCCACCTCAAAAAAAAAAAAAAAAAAAAAAAAAAAGGACTTCCTAAAAGAAACAGGAAGGAGGAGTCCTTTATTAGGAATGATTCTTCATCTTTTTGGCCCTGGAATTCCATGAGACAATGATGAAAACAATACACTTCCCACAGGAGACAGCCCAAACTTTTACCACAGTATTTTAAAAGGTTTGTGAAGGCAGAGATAAAGTAGTTCTCCAGAACACTCATCCAGTAGAAAAGGCACTGGTCTAGAGTCAGGGTCTGGCATGGAATCCTGGCTCTATTCTTCACGTGATGTATATAACCTTGGGCAAATCACAACTTTTCTGAGCCTCGGTTTCCTCATCTGTAAAATGGGTATAATAATACCTCTCAAAGTAATTACTGGTGAAAATTAGATAATAAATAATCAAATGGGCATATACAACTACAAAAATTGATCGGCTGAGGTGAGTGGACTGCTTGAGCCCACGGGTTCGAGACTCGCCTGGGCAATTTGGCAAGACCTCATCTCCACAATAAATCAAAAATCAGCCGGGCGTGGTAGCGCGTGCCTGTAGTTCCAGCTACTTGGAAGGCTGAGGCGGAAGGATCGCCGGAGCCCAGCAGGTCGAGGCTGTGGTGGCCAGGAGCGGCCACTGCACTCCAGTCTGGGTGACAGAGTGAGACTCCACCTCAAAAAAAAAGATCAAGTTACACACTTGAAATTTTTGTACTTTATTGTACAGAGGTTCAACTTTAACGTAAAAGGCAGGGAATAAAAGATATTAAACATGAAAGCTGGGTTCATATACCACTTCTGACACTAAAAAAAAAAAAAAAAAAAAAGAAAGCACCTAGCAGATATGCCCATCACAAAGTTGACGACAAGCATGACTCTTCATGCATGCTACACTTTCTGGCTTCACCTGATGGTTCATAGGATGTCACTTCCTCAGACAAGCCCTCTCTGACTACTCCTCCCACAAACCAGATCAGAGCCACGTTATATACTCTACAGTTGCCCTTTAATGGATTTACCCCAGTGTATCTTTACACATTATGGGAGTGATCATTTTTTTCCAGTCTGTCCCCTCACTAGATTATAAACTCCTGGAGTGGTGGCTCACACCTGTAATACCAGCACTTTGGGAAGCTGAGGCGAGAGGATTGCCTGAGCCCAGGAGTTCAGGACCAGCCTGGGCAACTTGGTGAGACTGTCTCTACAATAAATCAAAATTTAGCTGGGCATGGTGATGCACGCCTGCAGTTCCAGCTACTTGAAAGGCTGAAGTGCAAGGATCGCCTGAGCCCAGCAGGTGGAGGCCTGCAGTGGCCCTGAATGTTCCACTGTACTCCAGTCTGGGTGACACAGTGAAACTCCAACTCAGAAAAAGCTCCTAAGGGCAAACACCCTGGCTATCAGTGACCACTGTGTCCTCAGGTGCATGGGCACTTGGCAGCTGTCACTAAACATTTATGAGTTTTTGGTTTTGTTTTTGTTTGTTTGTTTTGTTTTGTTTTGTTTTGTTGAGTTGGAGTCTCACTCTGTCGCCCAGACTGGAGTGCAGTGGCCGCTCCCGGCCACCACAGCCTCGACCTGCTGGGCTCCGGCGATCCTTCCGCCTCAGCCTTCCGCCTCAGCCTTCCGAGTAGCCGGAATTACAGGCGCGCACTACCACACCCGGCTAATTTTTTGACTTATTGTTGAGATGAGGTCTCGCTGCCCAGGCAGGTCTCGAACCCGTGGGCTCAGGCAATCCATTCACCTCAGCCTCCCAAAGGCGTGGGATTACAGGCTGAGCCACCGAGCCCGGCTTGGTTTTGTTTTTTAATTTTTCATTTTTTTTGAGTTGGAGACTCACTGTCACCCAGACTGGAGTGCAGTGGCCGCTCCCAGCCACCGCAGCCTCAACCTGCTGGGCTCCAGCAATCCTTCCGCCTCAACCTTCCAAGTAGCTGGAACTATAGACACGTGCTACCACGCCCGGCTCATTTTGATTTATTATGGAGATGAGGTCTCCCCAAGTTGCCCAGGCGGGTCTCGAACCCGCGGGCTCAGGCAATCCACTCACTTCAGCCTCCCCAAGCGAGGGATTACAGGCTGAGCCACCGAGCCCAGCTGTTAATTTAATTTAGAGTTAAAGTCTCACTCTGTTGCCCAGGCTAGAGTGCAGTTAAGTAGTACACTCATGGCCACCACAACCTTGACCTGCTGGGCTGAGGTGATCCTTCTGCCTCAGTCTTCCAAGTAGCTGGAACCACAGGCATGCACCACTACACCTGGCTAATTTTTTGATTTATTACAGAGATAAGGTCTCGCCACATTGTTCAGGCTGGTCTTGAACCCCTGAGCTCAGGCAATCCTCTTGTCTCTGCCTCCCAAAGTGCTAGGATTACAGGCA